AGATGGCTGAGTGTGGAAAATGGACTGGAGATCGGTGGAGAAGAGGCCTGAGGAAAGGTGGCTGAGGTGAGCATGATGGCAGTCCTGCTTTGATCACTTTGTAGAATTTGGGGAGATCATGCAATCATCCTAACAGATTTTGAAATTCCACAAAAAACCACTTTCTTCTATGTTTAAGGGTTTTCTTCTAGAACGAATATGCCCCAGGGTGATGCACGGATTTTTTAATCTCAATCCTTCCATAAACTTAACAAGTGGCCTTGAGCAAGCCTCATATGGCTCATTTAATCATGATGCAAAAAGGTAAAAGGAAAAATTAGATTCTATATATAGAGTGAAGTCAACATTTTTGGTTATTGAACACATTAAAAAATGTCTTTAGGAGATTCCAAATACATCCTCTATTTGCTTTTTTATTTATGTCTTTTGAATTCATTTTAGAAGGGAAATTGCATTGATTTGCTCTTCATAAAGCCACATTCAGCAGTAACAGAATTTGTGATCTCAGGTGAAGGCAAAATGCTGGACTGGCAAATGTTCATAACGAATATGAGTTTTAAATAAAGTACTGGATGTGCTAGAAATTCATTAGATAATGAAAGCCATCAAGAAACACTGAGAATGCTGTGGTTCATTCTGGATTTATGGCTGATTCTTTTAAAAAGCATCACATTTGATATAATTGCTTTGCCTGGTATTGAAACACTTAAAAATTATCTGATAAATTCATTGTCGGTGGAGGATTGTCAGTGGAGGATTTACCTGTGATGCCAGGGATAGGAAATCTTGAAGTCTAAATATGGTAAGTGTTTATTTCCTAGTGATAGTTTATTATGACACTCAGCTTTGAAAGGGAAAAAGAAATCTCACAGCAAAATTTCCTCTCTCTGAAAATGGAATAAATTCTAATGTTTTTTCTGAATTTATTCGGACAGAGTATCATTAAATAAAGATTTCTTTCTGTTGCAATGCCCTTATTCAATATTTTATTCCCTTTTGTGCAAAGTTAAATATGAATGCTAGCTTATTTTAAATAGTTAACATATGTTGTATGTACGCTAATTAAAGCACTAATCTTTACATGCAAAACGTGGGTGTTTTGACCTGCATGAATTTTTAAAACTAAAAAGAAATCATATCAGACTAAGAACTATTATTATAAAGCAAAGGCCATTGTTTACATTTAAAAACTTACCTTTCTTCTTATTTTTGAGTGTATATGTTTGTTTTAGTGTAAGCAAATATACAAAGCCGTTAAAAAGATACTGTTGAATGTCATATATTTTAGGGATTTTTATTTTTATAAATTGAACCAGCTAATTTTAATGAATTTTGCAACATTTTATGGTAAAGTAACATTTAAAAAAATTTTCAGGGTGATGCACTTTAATTTGAAACCCTCTCAGCAACTCAGTGGTGTTTTACTGAATAGATATGGACACAGTTTCACTAGTGTCATCCTTTCCTCAGCGTGTTTACTCCATCATGATGAGGATTTTTACTACTATATCCCCCAATACTGGAAAAACCCCTTTCTGCTACATAGTAGGTGCTTGATAAGTACTGGTTTACTGAATGAATAAATGTATTTATTGGTATTAATGACATAAAATTTGTAGTGCTGTTCCAAATAAAAAGAACTTTTGAAATTCACACTCTTAAGCTTGAAAGTGGATATTGCTATGTGTTTCTGTTTTCACACTGCTATGAAGAAATATCTGAGACTAGGCAATTTACACACAAAAAAGAGTTTTAATTAATTCTTAGTTCCACATGGCTGGGGGAGGCCTCAGGAAACTTACAGTCATGGTGGGAGGCACCTCTTCCAGGGTGGCAGGAGAATGAGTGCCAGTGGGGGAAATGCCAGATGCTTATAAACCATCAGATCTCAAGAGACCCACTCATTATCATGAGAACAGCATGGGGGATACTGCCCCCATGGTTCATTTTCCATTACCTGTTCCTTGCCATGTGGGGATTATAGGGATTACAATTCAAGGTGACAGTTGAGTGGGGACACAGAGCCAAACCATATCAGGAATGTACATACTGAACACATATATGCTGTCTGACTTTGATTCTTACAACAGTCTTTTGTAAGTTCATTGTATTATGTCCATTTTATAGATTAGCAAACTGATGTTCAGAAAGAAAAAGTAACTTCTTCAAATTCACATGACTCCGAAGTGGTAGAGGGAGAATACCCACAGACATCTCTTTGACTCCAAAATCCTAGATATGATTGGAATTACAAGAAAAGGCAGTGACATGATCATTTTTTAATTTTAATTTTCATTTTCACTGTGACATTTTGAATAGGTCCAGGTCAAAAATCAAAATAAACATAAAAGTGAAGTCCTGTAGATTTCATGCTGCTAGTTGGAGTAGAACAATAGATTTGAAAGATCTAGAATAAGGGCAGTATGGGACTTTGGAGAGCTAATTTTTTAAATTAAATACCTTGGGTTTTCTTATTTATTAAAGTTAAGAGGTGTTGAGTAGTCCTGCAGCATAAAAGAAATATAGTCCATTTTTTCTTTCTATTACACTTTTATGGAGTTTATATATACTGAGTGAATTAGTCCATTCTTGCATTGCTGTAAAGAGCTATCTGAGACTGGATAATTTATGAAGAAAAGAGGTTGAATTGATTCAAAGTTCTTCAGGCTGTACAGGCAACATTGTTGGGAAGACCTCAGGAAACTTACAATTATGGCAGAAGGTGAAGGGAAAGCAGGCACATCTTATATAACTGGAGCAGGAGGAAGAGAGCAAAGGAATGAGTTCACTCACATATTTAGTACCAGATGCTAGTTACTGCAGATATTAAAAGTGCTTACATATTTTTAAACAACCAGATCTCATGAGAAGTCACTATCAGGAGAACAGCAAGGGGGATGTCTGCCTCCATGATCCCCATCACCTCCCACCAGGCCCATCCCCCAACACTGGAGATTACAATTTAACTTGAGATTTGAGCGGGGACACAAATCCAAACCATATCATTGAGTGATGTTGGAATAAAGCTAAAGAGGACAAACTATCCTATTTCCTTGTTCCTCCAGTTGCAATGACATACAAACTAGTCTACTACCTTTTTTTCCCCCTCTTACTTCAAATGCCATGAGTAAGTCTACATTTGGAACAACAGGGCTTTTAAATGGGGCAGAAGTGTTTAAAGAGGGGGCTATGGGAGTACTGGGTGGTTTCTTGATTCTTTCAAATTATTTGTGAGGCCGAGCTTTTGCCTTGTTGGGATGATTCCTGCTAATGTGACAGTCTGGAATTTTATCTTTTTATCTTATCTTAACATCTCTGTAAGGTACATGACTTTCCCCCAACCCCCAAGCACCCTACATGAATGTGGGACCTAATGTGAAAATAATACAAAGGGGGGACAGTCTCTCACATGAATTGATAGGGAAAAGGGGGAAAGTTGGCAGTCCAGCATTTGGGATTCATGGTGCGACTTAAGTTCCATGAATCTGGAAAAATGGAAGCACTATGTAAGCATATAGCAAAACATATTTAAACTATTAAACAGGCATATTGGAACTATTAATCTCCCAGTCTAGTTAAGCATTAGCCAGTTTGACAGAGGACCAGTGCTGGGCAAGATGTGGTTAAATTTGCAGAAAAATCAGAGGGGGGATAAAAAAGAATCCTCAAGCTGCAGAACAAAATGGAAAAACTGAAAAGAATATTCACAACAGTTTGAGGCAATTTCCCCTGGAGAACAAAGAGCTTTTGAGACAGGATAGAAAATGATTCAGAGGATAGTGAATTCCTCTCATTTCTCATGTATGTAGGATATACCCTGGTTCCAAATACCTGGAGGGAGACCAGGTGAATATAAAAAAATGTCAGCTATTTACTGGGAATAACAATTTCACTCAGATGTTTATCCAACACGTATTTAGCACCAGATGCTAGTTACTGCAGATATTATGGTGAACAGAGAGATATGGTTTATGCCCTCGCTGAGCATACAATCTAGTTTAAAGAAGCAAAACATAATGTGACAAATATAAAGATAAGTGAAAGACAAGTTGACCTGGGAAGCAAATGGTAAAACACCTGACTGGCCAGGATTCCAGGGAAATTTCTGGACAGCATGGAGATTTGCAGGATAACACTTGTGATGGTTAGTTGTATGTGTCAACTTCATTAGGCTACAGTAGCCAGTTACTTAATCAAACATGAATCTAGAATCTAAGTGTTGCCATGAAGGTGTTTCATAACTGTGTTCAGCATTTACAGTCAGTTGACTTAAAAAAGAGATTGGTCTAGGTGATATTGGTGGGCCTACATCACAAGCAGTTGTGAGCCAAAAATCAGATTTCCTGGAAAATAAGAAATTCTGCCTTAAGACTGAAGCATCAAATCTTGCTTGAGTTTCCATCCTGCTAGAGCTGCCCTGTAGATTTCAGAGGGACCTGCCAGCCCTCATCATCCTGAGCCAATCAATTCCTTAAAACAAATCTGTTACACCCACACACGTACACGCACATGTATGTGTGTATATTTGTGTGTGTACATGTGTTCCATTTCTGTAGAGAACCTTATGATAAAATACTTTAGTCCTGTAAAGTTGGTGTGTGTTGAGGGGTGTGCAGTGAGGGAGGTGACTGTCTGGGAAGACTTAGAGTGCAAAAGAGTAGCCAGATCAGGAAGCACATGATAGATGACCTCGAGACTTGTAAGGATTGTGAGAGGACCAGATTCACATTTTAGAAAGGACATCTCATTGTATTACTTTTGTGCACACAAGTTGAGAAAAATGTGTGAATTCCAGCAGGAAGGATATTAGGAAGATTTTTTTTTTTTTTAATAGGGGAAAGAAGTGCTGAATGTGTTCTGGAATCTAGAAAAATTGCATTTTTATCAATGACGGTAACAGTTTTGCAAAAGATTTACAAGCATTTTTTTTTTTTTCCTACAATTACGTCTATATTTTTCAGTAGGAAGTTCTTTTAACTGGGAATCTGCGGAGCAGCATTTATGGAAGAAAAACTCTGACAAACAGCATTTGGGCTGGGAGAGTGGAGGTCATAAGGGGATTCCCGCTGAGAAAGTGGGAAGGAAGAGAGTTTAGAAACGGATTGAAGTTCCGCTACATCCCATGTGTTGTGAGAGAATTCGCCTATTACGACGACGGCAACGTCTGATCTCCTGGCTTTCTTCCCCTCTTTGAGGGGTTCCGTTCCGCCCCACTGTGGGCGCGAGTTTGGCTGTCCCAGCGCCGGGATCTTGGAGTCTGGGCAGGATCTGGTACCTGCTACATTGGGATGTTGATGGGGAGGAGGTCGGGGCGCGCTGAGTTCAGGCTGGGGTCAGAGTTCTCCCACCTTGCAGCTCCCACCCGCTACGCTTAGAAACCTACGCCCGAAGGAAAGGGATCTTGCTCTGAGAGAACCGAACCAGGTTTTCTTCCATTTCCTTTGCAGCTCTAGATGTCTTCGCCCTGGCTCCAGGTGCGTTCTCTGTCCTTTTCCGTCCGGGGCGGTCGGCTGATTACAGCGCCCTGCTCAAGTCCAGCACCCTCGGAGGTGAAGTGGGACTCCTTAGCCCTTCCCCAAGGTCTAGACTGGAAGCCAGTGTCTTCATTATCGCCCCTACTCCAGGGGTCTCAATGTGTCAGTGGGGACACTTCCCTGTAAAAGTCTGGAGGGCCGCGAGGGCGAGGAGGATGCCCTCGTGCAGAGAGGTCCGACGACTCGCGTCCCAGAGCTTGGTCCCACACCGGGTCCCACATCCCGCACCCTGGCCAGGAAGGAGACAGGACGCATCCCAGTGTGATGTGGATGCCATATAGCGAGAGTGAGGATTTTGGGCGGTGGGGATGGGGGTTAGTGGAAGGGGCTGAGAGGGGAAGAGGCAGCAGGTGAGCCAAGGGGTTGTGCCCCTCGGAGGCGGGAAGAAGGGGTCTTTAGAGGGAGCATCTTGCAGGGGCGAGGCAGGCAAGGGTAGGGCTAGGAGGAGGTGCGGGGAAGCCAGCCTTGGCGGTGAGATGGGAGGGGGAGGAGGCAGGAGGAGGGAGTTCCGAAAGGAGGGAAACGAGCCGGCGAGGGGCCACCGGAGCGAGCCGGGAAGGGAGAGCAGCGGAGGGCTGCGGAGCCGCGGGCGCCCGGACCGTGCCACACACCCCCCGCGGGGCACGGAGGGCATTGCCGGGGGAGACACACAAAGACATGCGAAGAGGGGCTGAGCGAGGCTCGCGCACAAAGACGCCGGGGCGCACGGCAGCTCGGGCTGCACCCACCGCCCCCGCGCCGCGCCGTGCCGGGGCCGGGCCAGCTAGGAGCCCGGGGCTGAGCGCGTGGCGGCGGCGGCGGCGGCGGCGGGTAGGCGCGGGACCCGGGTCGCCCGCGCTCTCCGGGTGACCCGGGCCCGGCAGCAGGCGCGCGCGGGGGCGGCGGCGCCCGAGCCCAACTTGGCCTCCGCCTCGCCCTCTGCCCAGCCCGCCGGTGTCCCCTCCTTCCCGCGATTTCGTTTCTTCTCACGCTCCCCCCCCGCCCCCTCCCGCGTCCAGCCCCGCTCTCCCCACCTTGTAAAACAAAGCCGGGGAAAATGCCTGCCCGTGCAGCTCGGAGCGCGCAGCCCGTCTCTGAATAAGAAGTGAGTACAATGGCGTGTTTGTAAAAAAAAGCTTCAAGTCCATCTTTTTCAAAAAACATTTTGAATGCTGCATGCCTCATGCTTCCCAGCGCCTCGCGGGAGAGACCCGGCTATAGAGCAGGAGGTGAGACACCCCCCGTACCCCCACCCTTCTGGCCGCACGCTCTCCTGCCCCAGCCTGTCCTGGGAGGACTGCAAATGCCCCCTCTCAGCGAGCGGCCGTTTCGCATCTTCGCTTCGCGTCCTAAGTGTTGGGTCATAATCCGGATTTGGAGGCAAACCCATGCTCAGATCCTCTCCTGGCTGCTTCTCCCCCCTCTCCCGCCGGTGCCCGGGGTTTTTGCATCTGCCCGAGGTATGGGTTTGGAACACCTTGGGGGAGTTTCCCATGGAGAAGGACTGTTAGCCCTTGGGAGCAGCCGACAGGCAGGACCCATGGTGACCCCGGTCACACTTGTTGCCCATTGCCTGGTGGGACAGGCAGTGGTGCTGAAAACAGCTTGTTTCCCCTGCTATTCGGTGGTCAGTAGCAGCTGGAGCGAAGACATACCCGGGTGAGAATAGGAGCCCAGGATTAACAGAAGACTGTGATGAGCTGGGGGGAGGGGAGTGGGTAGTGATGGTGCTGAGTGTGTGTGGAAAGGGCAGCTTCTCTCCGTGATCATACATCAAATGGCGTGGAGATGGAAACCCAGAGGTTCCCTGGGTTAGATAGAGAACAGTCTTTTTTTTCAGTATTATTTTGATATTTCATCAGTTTCTGTTCATTCTGTCTGCCAAATGTATATTACATATATTTCTGCTAATTAAGAAATAAGGCAACAGCTTAAAATAATTAAGCTCCTTCAGGAAATGTATTAGGTTAATACACACGCCCGCGCGCGCGCGCACACACACACACACACACACACACACACACACACACACACACACACAGTCTTTTTTAAAAATCTGTCTCTTTCCCCCCAAACCATATAATGCAATGTGGCAATGTCTTAATGGGATTTCAGATTGGGATTTGGTGTCAACAAGGTAAACAGCCTTGGTGCTTTCTGGTTCTGCAGAGTGGAAATCTCTGATGTGAAAAATCACAAATAGCACAGATCTGAAGAGGAGAGGCTTGGAAAGCTTCGTTTAGAGAAATATTGTGGAACTTCTGTGTGATTTTTTGTTGTTGTTTTTATTCCAAAGGTGGCTAAATTTTAAATTATGACTTTTGTTTTTCACTCAGACTCACTAAGCAGCTGGGAGGTTGTGGGGAGTCTGCAGATGATAGTGATTTTAGCTATTATCAGCACTTCTATTTTAACAGTTTTTAAAAAAATGTTAGCATTAAACACATGCCCAGTGCTAATTTTGAGTGAAGTTGTCTTTATAAATATTTGAAAGGTGTCTACTAGCTTGTGGCTTTATTTGGAACAGGTGAATGTATCAGGAGAGAAACATGTGCATTCCTCTGTGTAGTAGGTTGAACCTCAGGAAATTGCTGTAATAAGCTATATGTACATGGAATCTCCACTTGGAGCCAAGGTACAGAAACATCATCACAGCTCTAATTTCATCTCTTCCAAGTCAGATCCATTTGGAGCTTTACTGGTTGAGGGTCCTGTCATCTGCCATCATTTTACAACACTACTTAGGTCTAGCGCTTTAAATAGCTCTGTTTGCAAAGCTTCTTTCTGATGGGCAATTAGAGATGTATTTTATGAATTACAACTATGGTAGCCTACATTTAACTCACAGTGTTAGGTAAGAAGGCAGGATAGGTAGCCATTTGAAAATTGGCATTTTTTATTCGCTTCTCATACTGAAGCAATTTCAGGTGCCTGTAGGGTGTTTGAGTGCAATTCCATGGAGATTTCTTATATACTTACTTAAAAGTGTGTTTTAGATAAGATTATTATTTTACAATTTATATTATATACATGATAGCAAGTTTACTGAAATCTGTAGAATTGTGGACTTTAAGTTGATAATTCTGTTTCAGTTGGTGGTTTTTAAAAGTCTCTTATTTTTCAGCCATTGTATTAACCCCTTTTAGTTCAATGTTGTCTTTCCATAAAATGTTCTGTAGTAGGTGGTTTATTTTTCTCTTAGCAAGTAGAAGTCTAGTATCTCTTATATTTTTGAAAAAGAAAGCCATTAATGATATTTTGAACAGCTGTGATAAATAATAAATGGATTTAGAGTCACTTCAGAGTATATGGCAATTTGTAAGAGAACCATATAAATCCACTCTAATGGAGCAATTAGCTTTGAACAGAGCATGTAGAGTCTTAGGTGTGAGCCATGGTTTTAATTTTTTTTCTTGATATTGTTCACATTTGAAAAGGAAGGTACTTGTCTTCTCTTGGTTGTGTCAAGGATTGACACAAAGATTAGCGATAACTTTTATTTGTAAAACACGTCGGAGATTGAAAAACAAAATACAGGGAATATTTTATCAGGAGCCCACTTTGGAGAACAGACAAAAAGACAAGATTTGACCATTGAATAGTTTATTTACCACCATTCATCATTTTTACCAGAAAATGATGAATGATTTCTTTTGAGCAGCAATGTTTGGATCACAAATTCTCTTATAATGCAATTCATTTATTGTAATAAATTTTCAAATGAAAAGAGAGAATGTTCTTTATATTGCTTGCTTGTGGTATAAAGTTCTTGAGAACAGTAATAACCATGAGCCATCTTCCCACGTATCCAAATATCTAGTTAAGTACCAGCAACTCTTAGGAGTTCAGTATCTCTTTGTGGACTGGCATAGTGGACAGATGTAAACTTAGACATTTATTAGGAAGCCTTTAGGCATTCTTTTCTTTTTTTGAAGTTTCTTGGTTCGACTCCAGTTCTTTTTTTGTTTTGTTTTGTTTTTTTTTTCCTCCCATTTGGAACTCCAATAGCAACAGAGAGCACAGATCCAGCCCCTCTTCCTTGAACCCATATATGTGGTCCTGAGATCTGGTGACAGGACTCCTGGTTTGGGTTCCAGAGCTTCCACCAGGAGAGCAAGCGGAATTCAATCAACCTTCTCTGACCCCTTTAAGAAGAAGCCCGACCAATTCCCCTCTCATCTCCTCCGACCTAACCCTCATTCTCTGTTGTTGTCAGTGGCGGCACCTGACTTGCTGGATCCTAAATCTGCCGCTCAGAACTCCAAACCGAGGCTCTCGTTTTCCACGAAACCCACAGTGCTTGCTTCCCGGGTGGAGAGTGACACGACCATTAATGTTATGAAATGGAAGACGGTCTCCACGATTTTCCTGGTGGTTGTCCTCTATCTGATCATCGGAGCCACCGTGTTCAAAGCATTGGAGCAGCCTCATGAGATTTCACAGAGAACCACCATTGTGATTCAGAAGCAAACATTCATATCCCAACATTCCTGTGTCAATTCAACGGAGCTGGACGAACTCATTCAGGTAATGGCATGGGAGGAGTTGTTCCTCCGTTCCCCTAAATGGGAAAGAAAATGAAAAGAGGAGACAACTCATAGCCCAGTAGTATGAGTGTGCTGGAGGGAGCCCTGTCCCATCTCAGGCACCTTAACATACAACTCCTTCCCCCAGTTTCTTTCATTTCCAATTTTCCTGCCTATGTTCTCGCTTTTGCCATCTTTTCCTTCTCCTCCTCTTTTAGTTCTCCCTCGCAGTGTTCCTTCACATCCTCTTCTGCTTCTGTTCTTCTGTATTTCTTTCCTGTTGTCTTCCTGCTTTATTTCCCTTTGCCCTATCTTAGCAGTGGCAGTGGACACCCATGGAGTTGGGGTTACCATGCCGGAGGCCCTCATGGTTAGGATGATCATTGACTGCAGAGAAAAATTGCTATGGCAAAGGCAAGGAAAACAAAAGAAAGAAATATGCTTTAATCTTGGCAGTGGCCATCATAAGATAGAAAAGCTGAATTCGTGATATGACCCTCTTGAGATAGGCACCCCTCAGGTCAACAAGTTATAGCTTACTTCTTTAATCTAGCCAGGGTGTAACTTTGATGACTACCTTTTTAAACTATCTGCAAATAAGTGATTATTGCTTTTCTAACTCCCAGCTGAGAGAAATTTACTACTATACAGAGTTTTTGAATAAAACTAATTTAGTTTTAATTTACTTAGTAATAGCAGAACAATATCCTTACAGAAAAACATTTTGTTTTAAAAACTAATCCCAATAAGTTTCAGTTAGGCTCTTTAGAGATGACTGTATTTTTCTTGTAAATTTCTTTTTTGTAAATTGCATAAAACAATTTATTGTTCAAATAAGGATCTTAAGAAGAAAGCTTTAGAATTTTCTCAGAAGAAGGGACTTGACTGGTTGTTGAAAATGTTTTAATCTTATACGCATCTGTTTTCCTAAAAAGTGGACTTTTCTTACCTGGTTTAATTCAAATTGGAATGGAAATTGTCTGTGAGTCATCATCTGAGCATGTTCTTTCTTATTTCATATTTGGTTTTACATTGTTTGAAAGAGTTGGAATAGTGGGTTGAGGGGAGAAATGATTGTTGGCTTTAATTTCGCTTATTGTTTGGGGACCCTTTCTCTCATCTCCTCTTGCCATGGATCCCCAAATGCTACCTCTGCCCTTCACAGCCCTCTTAATTTACAGCATATGCATACAAGTCTGTTCAAGTTTTATTGAAAAATACCAATGCTAGTGTTCTCTGACTCCTATTTAGTTTCTACCACATTCAGAAACTTCTGCATCTGAAAATTTGACTTAAGTTTTGAGAAGGCTGTTTACTTGTATACTGAGTTCTCTATGAGTTTTAGACGATGGTGATGTTTTTAGTACTGGCAGTGAAAGTGCCAGCTAACATTATTGTCCTAACTGCCCCCTTCTCTGGTCTCATGTAAGATTACTTTCACTTCATTCTCTCTTTGGGCCACATAATCCTATGAGGTACTCAAAATCTTTGAGGAATCCCCACTTCTTTGAGTTTCTGAAGAAGAGCTCTTGGATGTCTTGGTGGAGGCAGCATGCTGTAAAAGCTTCAACTTTGGGAGCAGATAGGATGTGTTTTAAACTGCAGTCGAGTGCTTTATTAGAAGTGTCATCTGAAGCAAGTAGTTTTCCTCTTTAGGCCTTAAATGATCTATCAGGAATGAGGAAAGAGTATCTGTCGAGTAGGGTTGTTGTGAGGTAAAGCGATAGTCCGTGTAAAGTGTTTAGGTTCTCAGAAAGTGTTAGATTTGTTTTCTGTGGTTATTGTTTTCCTCTCTTGTTTCTTCATTGGATTGTAGCCTCTGATTCATGTAGTTGCTTTCTTATCACCTGCAATGAGATGCTTGGTTGGACAGGACAGGAAACAAACAAACAAACCATGACCAGCATTTCAGGACAACATTGGAAGAAATCTTGTGTGAATTTGAAAAGGGTCTCACTGTCCAGTATTACTCAGATTTACTCAGAACTCTAAAGATAACTTGAAGGTCATGGCAGGTAGGAGCAATCTGGTGGTGAATACTGATCACTTTTTGCTACATTGTCTTTGAAATGGAAACAGAGCTCAAAATATGACCTAATTTTTTTTTATGCTCTGCTTGGGCAATCCATTTTAACTTTATTAATTTTCTCTATTTAGTGTTTTTGCTTCATAAAAATCTTTTTTATGCTGATTCAACATTTTTCAATGCAGAAATTACCTGTTATTTACTCTTACATTGTTCACCTTTATAACCCAATGGTTTTGATGAATTATTTTTACTCTTGAAACATAATTTATTTTGATAAAAGAAATCTTTACAATGCCATGGCTTCAAGGATCGAGGTCAGTGTGTAAATAGGGAGGAAGGTAAATACGCCAGGAATCATATATTAGCATTATACTTCCTTCATATGATTCTTATAAATTTCCCAATCTTCTTTCAAATTTATTTTCCCATTTAATCATTCCTTAAAAGCTTGTAAGTGGGTCCATTGGGGAGCAATACCACAACATTGAGTATTAGATACCATCATTCAGATGAGAGTTCAGGTCTTCAGAATCCTTCGGTTGGACATTTTTCCTAGAGTGTCTGCTCCTTTGGAGCTTGCCTTCTTTCAGTGCTGAGTGGGGAAATAGTTGGAGTGGTAAGCATTTCAATTATAGTGTTGGTGAAGAAATTCTGCTACATTTTATGGAGAATGAGGACAGACGAGGAAGTGTGTAGTCTGACAGTGAGCCAGTATCAGGTGCAGTTAGCCTAATCTGGTCTCAGCCATTAGGTTATTAGTTACTGTTCTGGTTGGAGTATACCAACTTGATCTGATGCTGTGGTTGTGTCTCAGGGTGGGGTTGGGGAGGTGAGGGAAGATATAAGTAATGGAGCATAAAGGCAGATGAGATCAGCTGCTTCTTTTGTTATAGAAGCATGTGTGTATGTGCTAAGTGTTGTGTTTGACACAGGACCTTCAAGACAAGATTGAGAAGGGGCAAAGATATCAAAACAGATACCTTTGTCAGCCTGATGTGATTTGAGCAATATGATTTTCAACTCCCATTACATTTAAACTAATGTGATGTCAATACAGAAACATATACGACAAATTGTTTAAGTTTTAAGAGCCGTGGATGCCATTAAAAACAGCCAAAATTTATTAAGCACTTACTATGTGCAAGGCATCCTTCTAACTCTTTAAATGTATTATCTCATATAACTCTCTTAACCCTAAGAGGTAGGTGCTTTATTATCTGCTTTTACCTTATATGGAAACTGAAGCAAGGGGCTTCAGTTTCCAAGAGTGTGTGGTGGCAGAACTGTCATTCAAATCTGTGGATAAACTTAGTTCTGGTATGGACTGCCATGAAAAATAATACATATTTGATGTAATGTTTCCTGTTATTCCATATGTTAAGGAATAATGAATGTTATGGTCCTAGGTACATATAGCATATCTTTCTAAAGTGGAAAGTATATAACCTGGATCTTAATATTCTTTCTGGACAACAGGATTATATCAGTATTTTCCCATTTAAATATGATAAACCAATAGAGGATGGTTACATTAGACATACCTGGTCTTCATTTATTTCTGTGTTAGCTGAATCAATTATAGGCTTAAAAGAGAGTGAAATCTACAATCTATATATTGATAACAAAAATATCTTACAGGAGATTTGACTTTTTTGTTTTCTAATTTGAGCTAGGTTGGGAAGATATTCTATCTTTTTTGGGGTGAAGAAACTGACATGTTTGGACAAGGTCATCTGGTGGCCTCAGGTCTAGATCTTCGGAGTCTTCCTGCTGAAGGGATTATCTTGTCTTTACGCTAGGCTTCTCATTTTGGTTCATCCAGTGGCATTTATTGAGGACCTCCAATGTGTTTACCTCAATGGTGGTGTTGAGCCATTTAAGTTGATGGAAAAAAATATGGCTTCTCTCAAGGCATTCCCTCCTACATGTCAATCAAAGGAGATAGATATTAACATAGATAAAATAGCATTACCATAGAAGTACTTACAGACTGGAGCTGGAATCCCTACGTGTTGGAGCATTGAGTAAGAAATTATGCATTTAATGAGAGTTAGGAAGATACAGAAGATGTGAAAGGAAACTGGATTTTAGGGTGCCTTAGAGTACTTTAGCAGAAGACGAGGGGACTAGCGGACATTCTAAGCAGAATGGGCATGGTATGCTCCAGTAACTGAATATCTGGATGTGAGGGGCAAGGGCATGAGCAGGTCTAACAAAGGAGACCATAGATTGTTGTTCCATACCAGGGAGGTGGGCTTCATCCTAGGCCTCCTCCTCCACCGGCTGTCAGTGTGTGGGCACTTGGCTGTGTAGCAGAGGATACTTGGAGCTGCAGGATGAATAAATAAACATGTCTTCTCTAGAATACCAATGATCGTGGCCTTTAAAAACAAAACAAAACATTGTTTTATATTCTATAATCATTCATCCATTCAAAAATATTTGTTGAATGCCTACTGTGTACATTGTCTTAAGTGCTGAAAGACAGTGGAGAATAAAATCAGATGAAAATTTGTACCATGAGTGAGCTTACATTTTCTGGGGAAGGTATTATGTTTGATGGAATAAGTTTCAGGAGAAAAAATAAAGCAGTGAAGAGGGCTAGGAAATGTTGGATAGTGTTGGTGATTAATTTCAGATATGGTCACTAGGGAGGCTTCACTAATAAGGTGACTTATAAGTAAAGAGTGAGGGAAATAGCCTAAAAGCTGTGTGGGGAATAACACTTATGCAGAATGCTCAGCACAGACAGAGCTTCTTACCCAGGGGAGAGTTCCTGGCATGTAGAACTTCAAGGACGCTTGGATGGAGAGGTAGAAGGTGATGTCAGGCAGGTAATGGGGGCCAGGTCATGTAGGGCCCCATAAGTCATCATCATAAGGAGTTTGGCTTTTTGGTGCAGATAAGTTTCCAGCTCTGGTGTACAGTTCAGCCAGATTTCTCTGGCTGTGGTATTGAGAATAGACTGCACA